CCTCTGCCCGCACGCCCCTCTCCCCTCGGCCGCCTCCGGGGTGGGCGCGCAGGCTGAGGCAGCGCCGCTGTCGCCCTGACCAGGGTCCGTCTTGTCTCTTCCCTCCAGGAGTCCCTCCGCGAGCCGGGCGAAGATGAGGCGCCCCCCGCCCCTCCGGCGGTAAGTAGGGGCCTTCCCGACGGCCCGCCCGGGGCGCCGGCTCTTCTCCTCCGGCCTCGCTCCCGTGCCCTGGCGGCGTCGGAAGCGGCCCTGGGGCCACCCGGGCGACGCCAACCCTCTCTCCTCGCTTCTTTTCGCAGGCTGGCGCTCCTCCTCGTGGGACTGGCGGTGCTCCGAAGCGGGCCAGTGCGAGCCGTAAGTAAACGGGCCGGGGTGGGGGGTGGGGGGTTGCCTGCTTGCGCGCCCCCGTCCCCGGCGTCCCCCTCCCCAAGCCGCCATAGGTCAAGATGGGCAGCAGCCGTGTTAGTCAGTCTGTGGCAGCGGGAAAGAGCAAGAGTCCGGGAGCACCTTCAAGACTAACAAAGTCTGTGGCAGGGAAGGAGCTTTCCTGTGTCAATTGCTCAGTTCTGCAGAGACAGTTAGAATGTGATAGATCAAGATGGGGGTAGCAGCGTTAGTCTGTCTGTCACAGTAGAAAAGAGCAAGAGTCCAGTCGCCCCTTAACGACCAACAGAATTTGTGGCAGGGGAGGAGGTTTCCTGAGTCAAGGCTCACCAAAGCCCTCATGTCATCATGATGACCAGTGTTCCCTCTAAGCTGAGTTAGTGTGAGCTAGCTCACAGTTTTTTAGCCTCCAGCTCACACATTTTTGTCTTAGCTCAGGGAGGATGGCTTCAGAGCAAACGAATTTATGCAGTACCCAAATCACTCACTCACAACTTTAATGCTTGTGGCTCACAAAGTAGAATTCTTGCTCACAAGACACCATGGCTTAGAGGGAGCATTGGTCAGGATAGCTTCTGGCCATCCTGCCTGGCGATGCCTGCAGTTGCTAGCCAGTGGCCGCAGAACAAGGTGCGCTGCTGGTACTCTTGGCTGACAGCAATATTTGACAATAGGGGTGCACAGCCTATGGCAGTTGGCTGGTGCACTAGCCCTGGGGGGGGGGTTGCATTGCCCACTTTTCTCTACCTTGAACTTAGCTGGTGCATCTCCCCCCCCCTCCCCCTGTGGTGGCATCTACAGTTGTGGGAGAAGTTTCACCTGTTGAACATCTGCTTGTCTTGCATTAAAGGCCCACAGGTGGGAGCGATGGAGGTGGTTGTGAGGAAGCATGTTTGCACATTCTGGCCAGGAGTTTCATTCTAAGTTGGTGTTGTCACATTTACTGGTATGGAATACTGACTTTTTAAAATAGATAGGTGCTCGGTTGCAATTGTTTTTTGCCAGTCGTACCGGTGTTTGCAGAATTCATGCTGGGGGGGGGGGTTTGTGCATCAGTTAACTTAAACGTATTGTTGTACACGACAGATCAACATGGAAATACTCCTGTCCTGTCTGGAGTCTGGTAAATGGCGTTTCTAGTGGCAGCAAGGACCCATGTTTATCGGATACTACAGGAAAGGGCAGCAACTGCTTTGTACGAATAGTGCCTGGAGCCCTCATGGTTTGGGGCACGTATGTATCTCCACCCACCGTTCTCATTTTTTCTAAAAGAAAACATGTATGGCCCTAATCCAGCTTTACGTGTCAGCTGCAGTGGACTAATGGATGCATAGGTCAGGGCTGGATCTACCTGCAATTCTCTCCCCCCCCATCACAGTTGATGACCACATGACTGGACATGTGTTTACATGTGCAGGCCGGGGGCTTGGATAGGGCTTCTCAGTCTGAGAAAATTTGCAGGGAGCCTGAGTGTAAAAATGAGGTGGGGTGGGGAGTGTTCTGCAAGGATATAGTGGCAGAATCCTGCCGCTGCCCCCTGCTTTCTGGATTAACTTTGTACTTTCCCGTATGAAAATTGTTCTGTTATTCCTCTGATAATCGTTGTGCATTTTCTGTAGCTTTCTCTGGGCCTGCTCCTTGTGTTGAAAAGTGCAAATGCAAATGGGTCTGGTTTGGAGAAACCACAGAGGAGGATTGTGGTTTAAAAAACAAATCTATATGAAAGCCCCTACCCTAATAACCTATTTGCCAGATTTTCACCCTGGAATTTGTATTTTTATTTTCATGTGCAAAGTTTCACCCCCTTCAAAAACTTCACCTCTCTGTCTCCTCCCCTCTCTCTGTCTCCACTCTCGGTCTCCTCTGTCTCTCTGCCTCCCTCTCTCTCTCTTTCAGTGGCATTTATTTGTCCTTTGGCCTGCTTGTTTCAGTATCTTTTTTTCTTCCGGGGCTCTTTTCTTCCTCCAGCAAGGGATCATGTCCTGAGCACAATGTGGCAATCAGATTTGTCTCTGTCATGATATCAGGCAAAGTCCCCATGTTGCCCTCCATGACAAGTCCACCTTGCCAAGGCAACTAGATCAGTGCTCCCTTTCTTGGCATATCCACACGGCAGTCATGAACCACCACTCGGCACATGGCAGGAAAACGCAGAGCATAAGCCAGATAGCTTTGCGAGACCTAGGCGCATTTCCTGTCTTGATATGCTGCACCACAGGGGTGGCTGATGAAGCTGCAGAGCAGTACGCCGAGACAGAGAATGTCTCTCCAGTTGCTTTGCTGATGAATATTTGGTGGCCTTCTGAGCCCCAACCCCCCCGGTTAATTAGAAGTAGTCTACAGTTCAGGGTTACTGAAATCAGTCCCCTCTTTTGGGTCACTGTGGCGGATTGTCTTGATATTTCTAGGAAACTACTCATAGAATCATAGAGTTGGACGGGACCTCCAGGGTCATCTAGTCCAACCCCCTCCACAATGCAGGAAATTCATAAATACCCCCCCTTCCCCCATTGACCCCTGTTTCATGCCCAGAAGCTGGAGGGGGAAAAAACCCAGGATCCCTGGCCAAACTGGAAAATTCCCTTCCTGACCCCAAAGTGCCGGTCCGCATTTCCCTGGGTGTGTAAGATAAATGTTAAGTCAGAAACCGGTAGAATGTACCTAACCTTGAGTTTGTACTTTCCCGTGTATTTTGTCGCTGGTCGAATTTTATCTCCAAGCTCTCTTTTTCTTTTCTCTTTTTCGTAGTGTGAGAACTGTTCGGCTATTCAGAAAAGTCAAAAGCTCGTGGGAACTACGATCACCCAGCCTTACCTACCTGACAGAGCTTTAGTGAGGATAAAATGGGATAAACCCATATAGTCTGCCTTAGTGGTGGAAAGTGCCATCAAGTCGTAGCCAATTTATAGCAGTCCTGTAGGGTTGTACAGTCTTTACATGGCACCATCCTAATAACGTTTACTCATCCATAAGCCTCCCTGTGTTCAGCAAGACTAAACCTGCTTTCAGCTTACCTTAACCACAGGTAGTTACAGCCAGATCATCCTTTGCCAGGTGCTTTGGCAGGAGGTGCTTGTGCTGGGTGACCTTGGGCCAGTTACACTTTCTCAACCTAGCCTACCTCACAGGGTCACTGTGAGGATAAGCATCTTCTGGTTGTCCCTGGCCCGAAGGATGTCTGACTAGCCTCAACTAAGGCCAGGGCCTTCTCAGCCCTGGCCCCAGCCTGGTGGAACAAGCTACCGGTCGAGATCAGGGCCCTGCGGGATCTGCTGCAGTTCCGCAGGGCCTGGAAGATGGAGCTGTACCGCTGGGCTTTTAGTTGAGGTGACAGACATCCAAATTCTTCCATCTCTTGACCTCCCCTACTGGAAGCCCTAGCTTTGTGTCCAGGAACCAATACTCCCTCTAAGCTGTGGGGTCTCGTGAGCAAAAATCCTACTTTGTGAGCTACTGGCATTAAAGGTGTGGGCAAGCGATTTGGCTACTGCACAAATTACTCTGCTCCTGAGCCATCCTTCCTGAGCAAAGACAAAAATGTGTGAGCCAGAGGCTAAAAAACTGTGAGCTGGCTCACACTAACTCAGCTTAGAGGGAACACAGCCAGTGGCCAACATCACCAGCTCCGCTCGGAAGAAGTACAACATAGCGTCACTACCAAGACAATGTCTTATGCTGGTCTCATTATTGATCTCTTAATTTTAATTTTTTTTTAACTTCGTAATATTCATGATCTTCTTTTGTTTTACTGTCACGCCTTATGTGACCTGCATAACCCACCCTGAGCTCGCTTGCGGGGAGGGCAGGATATAGATTGAATTAAATAATTAAATAGGAGGAGAGAAGAACGATGAAGGCGGCTTTGGGTCCCCATTGGGGAGAAAGTTGGGATACAAATGAATTAGAAGAGAAGAAGAGATTGGATTTATACCCCGCCCTTCACTACCCAAAGGGAGTCTCAGAGCGGCTTACAAACTCCTTCCCCTTCCCACAACAGACACCCTGTGAGGTAGGTGGGGCTGAGAGAGCTCTTGACAGAAACGGCTCTTTTTCAAGAACAGCTCTTATCACAACTACGGCTTGCCCAAGGTCATCCAGCCAGGTGCAAGTGGAGGAGTGGGGACTACACCAACTTAAATTTAATTTTGGCAGTGGGGGTCTAACCACCGCCAGCAAAGCTGATCTTTTAGAGGGAGGGCAGCCACGTATGCCATCCACTGAGCACCGCTTCCGTGGACAGTTCAGCCACCCTCCATAACCTTACCTCTCATCTGGGTTTAGCTACAATTTATTAGTAAGGGTTTGCAGTCGGAACTTGGCTAATCAAGATCCAGCCTGAATCACATCCCATTCAGAAATTTTAGCCCAACCTGTGATTCCAAGCAAAATTATTTTCGACCTTTGCAAATGGGTGGAAGCCTTTCTGCCAGGAGCAGACCCTGATCTCCTGCTGCCTGTTTATATTTTCCTACTGAATGGGAAGGGCGGCCGTGTGCAGGATAAGGATGTCATCTAGTCATAACAAAACGAAATTTGCGTGAATCGCCTTGGAATGAAACAGGACTATCTTAAATAGCATTTCTGTGCTGTGTTTCCCCTTTTGGCTGATCATCGCATCATCTCATTAGCTTCAGAAGGGTTTTTAAAAATTCTGTTTCGCTAAACATCCTGTTTAGGTAGGG